ATCAATGTCTGTAAACAGTTAAACTTTATCAAAAGCCAACATTTTTTTTGAGTAGGAAGTGGCTAAAACCCATGTCAGGGTTTTTGTCATTTGTGTCCCATTGGGGCGATTTCTCTTCACTTCCAGAAGACACAACTGGAGAGGAACACACAACAGGTAAGTTAGAGCAATCATCTCCAAGATAGTTGTCACTACAACAGCCTCCTATTGGACGATTTCTCCTCATCTCCTGTTCTGTGACAGCTCATAAGTTTGGATTTCTGATCCCGGTGACAATGGCCACCAAACAAATAAAGAGGTTGAATCTCATAGTTAGGACATAGACAGCAATAAGTATCTGACCGTGGTTCAAAACATTTCAAAACTAAACAAGTTTGGGCTTTAGATGCACTTGAAGGTTCTATGGTCACATTTGTTAAATACCCCAATACAGCCAGTCTATGCCTTACTTTTACAACCTTTGGTAGATTGCAGGAAAACCTCCAACCATCTCTAACAGGTAACAGGTGGGTAACAGGTGGTTTCATATACAGTATACTGGTTACAGATCAGCCGGTACAGAGACCTTTGAGCATTCTGTGCCCACTCAACTCGTAGCCCTTTCTTGTGCTGTGTCCACAACCTCTGTTGCCCATAGTGGTGAATTGGGGTTCTTCAGTAGTTACTAACCAATTGTAAGACTATGGCCAGCCACACATGTGATACTGCTAGGGTTGCCACCTTTTCTTCCAGCAAAACCTGAACACTCTGGCGACGCACACGTTTTTTTTCGCTGCTTATTTATATGTAAATAGTGTCACGCATTCATATGTAAATATCACAGTCGCGACTATTTTTAGGCCCCACTGAGCGACACTTACCTCGAGCGTATTTCCGCACGGTCGGGATAGCGCAACTGTTTGGGCGACGTTCCGGCGACCTTCACCGTCGAGCTGCATGCAAAAATAGAAAAATCGCGCGACATCCGTGGGAAAAAGGGTTCTGCACAAGCAACGAGCGACAGGCGACATGGAGCTGTAGAATAGAACAGCTCCATTGAAAACCATTGATCAAGCGACTTCTCGCGATATTGTGTGGCAAATATGCGCGATATCACGACAGAAATCACGCGTTTAAACGCTCAGTGTGAATGGGCACTTAGTGGGGGGGAGGAGGGGGGGCAGTAGCCCCTATCTTTATTTTGGTTGCTTCTGTCTGCCTGACATCTTGTGTCCAGGTTTCAGCTGCCATGAAGCCTGGACACAGCATTCAAAACCCAGACTGTCCGGGTGAATCCTGGACAGGTGGCAACCCTAGATACTGCAGATGCGCGTAATCCCGTCTTCCAAATCCTTGGACAATGCACGCTAGTGTGCATGCAGCGTAAACGTACGCACAAGACGCACTGACGGCCGTGCACAGGATGTGACAATCTTTCCTTGATGGATGGGCCTTCATAGTCCAGTCTGCCTTACAGACCATTGCTGAATGGTTTTTCAACTTGTCCGTGTGATCCTGTTACTCTGCCCATCTGCTTGCTCTAGTGCAGGGGTAGCCAAACTCTAACCCTCCAGCTGTGGTGAAACTACAAATCCCATGATGCATCTCTCAAATCTTGCAATGCCTCATGGCATTTGTAGTTCCACCACAGCTGGATGGCCGGAGTTTGGCTACCCCTGCTCTAGTGTATTGACCCGGATTGCCTTCGACCTTGCCTGATTGCTGCCTGCCCCTGACTTCTGCCTGTTCTGGATTCTGCTTCTGTCTTCTGCTACTGTACTTCACTACCCACTCGGTGTGACCTTGGACTTGTCTGACCTGCTCCTGGATCCTGCATATGGACTATCACCAGGCACGTTGTCAACATACCACTTGGCACTCTGGCAACTCTTCTGTCCTCTCACTCTCTGTCTCCACTCTCAGGGGTGCAGGACAAGAGGTGCAAGGGAGGCCTCCTCAGCTATTCGGTCTTCTACCAGGTACGTGATACCAATGGAAGTCCTGACCATCAAGCTGTTTGGCTTGGTTGCCAAAGTGCATAGAAACTATAGTCAGTTCAACCAAGAACAGATATTATTCAACAGGAATCATCCAACATTCAAGCCCTCTATGGCTAGCTTTAGACCACCTTGTTTAGACATGGCTTGGATAAGCACCAAGAATCTTGCACAGGAATAACAGCAGCGGATAACCAAATACTGATGTGAATAAAGCATTCAACCATAGACTCACCACAAGTGTAGATGACATTCAGATGCTTGCGGACTCCTGTATAACAAGGGTCTCCAAACTCATAGGTGCTGGCATAGATGCTGCAGCTCCTCTTGCCTTGGCAGCGCTGCGTCATAAGTGACAGGGAGGAGGGTGACTGGCATTCTGAAGAGACCAACAGGAAGTAGAGCTTGTGGTTAAACAAAAACTAGTCTATAGTTTGTAATGGGAAACATGATTAGGTCTCCAATTACAACAAAATAACACCTGTCGCTGTTTCTGAAGCTAGGAGGGCTGCGGCATTATGTGGCCTCCTATAGCAAGTCATAATTTGACGTTCCTATTCTTCTTTAAGCTTGGTGGATGGTGTGCTTACCCCCATCATTGCCAGCTATGACATGCTGAGGAGGATTGGCTCTAAAATAAAATGTGTATCTAACATTTGATGCTTCCACATGTACATGACTGTTAAGGTAAATGTAAACCCAACTATGAACTTCTCTGCTGTAGTCCCATTTGGTCAATTAAATATACAATTGAAATGGTTTTGTTATATCTGTTCAATGAGCCCCAAACAAAAAAACAGTTGATCCTGTCAAAAATCTTATGAGCTGATAACTTCCTGAACTGTGTTATCAGTTGGCATTGTTTCTTTCTGTGATTACAGAACACCTCACTCCATTTTATGCAGATGAGGGGGGGGGGGATTCTTTAGTCTTACTTTCTGTCCTAGAGTTACAACGCTGCTCCTCCATAGGTACAGTAGGATCAATGAGTGTTTTCACTCGGACAGGTAAAAATATAAAAATAAAGGACAAAAAGCATGAAAACTAATGCAGCCAGAACATCTAAGTACTGGTAAGCTGCAATCTATTACATTTTTGTTTTTGGGTTTAGATATACTTTAGGGATGTGAAGAGCTAGTCTACTTTCCCAGGCAGCCCATGGCAGGCTGTTGACCAGGAGAGTCACAATTAGGTTGGGTTTTCCTGGCAATTGTCGTTGTTTTCCACCAAGACAAGCCAAGGTCATGGTTTGCCCATGTGGCCGGGTGCTCACAGATGGGATTGGAGGCAGTGTTTGTAATTCAGAGTTTTGCAGGTAATGGTGGACAAACACATAACCAACAAGCAGCATGTTTTTAGGTGACCATTCAGCGTTCCATTATTGTCAGCCAATTGTAATACTGTGTTCACAAAGCCATCAACTTATTTATAGTTTTAAGGATTTTGGCAAAACATTCTGACCACCTCCTTCTAAAGTCCATAAAAGAGAGAAAATGGTGGAAAATGCACATTACTATTGGTAATTGACTGTCAAATGCTGAAAAAGTAGTTCCTGTGCACAGAAATCATTTAAAATGACTCTGTACATAACCCGCTAACTCTAATGCTGAAGAATGATATGACTTGATGAGACATGCATGTTATTTCATTCACTACATAAATAGATGACCAAATCTTACTATAGACAGACTTTGCTGCAAGCATAACTTTGCCATACCATGTCAGCACAGAATTACTATGCCTCCAGTGTTTATTTTTATAACATAACTGACAGTTTCTGCCATCACAGGACAAAATAATTGTTTCAAGAACGCACAGCACTGCTATGATAGCACTATGATAGCAGTGAACCCCAGACAAGGGCTGGCGTGTCCCTGCTTTTAAAAGGCAGCTGCCAACTGTGCAGTGCTTGAGTGACCTTTAGTGGTCTTATGTCTACCATACCCTAATTTTATCGGCCCCATGTTTTTGTGTTTTAGATATGCCCTGGCATAGAGGGGCTGATTTCCCTGCCCTAATATCCAAAACTGGAAAAAATTGCCTTCACATACACAGTATAAGGAATTTGAACTCAATGGCAGTGTACTGTACTGGGAACTTTGCCTTTGAGCAAATGGCTAGCTCCAATGGATTTCTACACAGGAGATATTTGGCAGGCATGTTCAAAGCCTGCAAAGCCCTCCACCACAAGTCTAGTCTAGAAGGCCGTATTGACCATTCTTTATGTTTATCGAGTTTAAAATGTTGTGTATCACTGACCCAAACTGCATGAAATGTTTGGTCTTTCTATCCATTTTAGATTAGTGGATTCCTATGGGCACTACTGTAGGGGAGCACATTTAGAGAGCACGCCCAACAGAGGCTGCAAATCAGGAAAGCTAGTGCTTCTGCATTCAAGTGAGCATGGCCATGTACCTCTAAATGGATGGGGCGGGGTCACTGTTCCTACAAAATGGGGCCTATTTATGATTATAGGTCCTTCCATAAAGATATTGCTTTCTGAACACTTGGAACACACCACATCATGGACCTATACATCTAAAGGGATGGGATAAGGAGGGGACACTGTTTTTACAAAATTAGACCTGTTTGTGATTAAAGGTAGGTCCTAGCAGTTTAAACACACTACAGTAACATATTTACCAAACAGTTGAGGATTTTAAAAAAAATCTGTTTTCCTGATGTGTAGAACACAAGAGAGGACTAATCGGAGTGTTAGGAGTCTCAAATGTTGACCACAAGGGAAGACAAATCGAAGAGTTAGGAGTTCTCGAATACAATACCCTCTTACCTGTGGAAGGCATGCCTAGGTTCTGGTAAGGACACTCCAAGCTGCCGCCTCGTACTCTTCCAAATGTAGCAGAATAGATGGCAATCACTGTATTCCTCTTACAGCTCAGCCTCAGACGGTCATCCTCACAGGCCACCTTACTCTTGAATTCATCTGTAATGAAGGCATACATGTCATATCAGTGAAGCGTTCCATTCTGATGAAGACATGTTTTATGAAAGATAATTCGCCCACAGGTCAGAAACCCACAAGCACATATGGGCACAGACACTGGTAGCTCTCAGTGCAGTATTTATGGTGATGACACCTAGCTAAAGGAAGCCTGTCATGAGAGGAACATGGCAGCACCATTGCTGGAGCCTTTCTCTGAAAATGCTAGTTGGGTCAGCGTGACAGCCAGGCAACTACAAGAAAGTCAACAACTGCAGCTCATATATTTGTCTTGTGACAGGTTTACCCTAAAGCTTATAGCGTATGTTAACCCTAAGTCCATTCTTTAGTATGTTTGGCATCATGCCTCACTGTATATAAAAACCTGGAGATCCTGCCAGTAAAAGCACTTCTGATAATACTTAGACTGCCGCCTGAGCTTCTTCAATTGCTGTTGGGAATCACTATCTGATACACCTGACAGAATTAACCAAAGGAGTGCACATGGCAAGCTTGAGTGACTATAGTGGTCTTATATCTGCCATACCCTAATTTTATCGGCCCCAGGAGGAGGAGGATGATTTCCGAGCCCTGATATCCACAACTGGAAAAACATTGCCTTTACATATACAGTATGTATAGTACATAGCAAGCTGGCAAGGATGCTGCTAATTGCACGGCAGCGGAAGAACTGTATATAGTGAGACTCCATGGCAAACATACTGCAAAATACATTTTGGTTTTGGGTTTGCTTACACTATAAAACCTCCCCCCCAAAACTTTTTGATTAGAGAGGCACTTTTTCTTTTCTTTTGGATAGTAGGTAAGGGTCACAAAGGTTCTTTTTTTCTGATGGATAGTAGGAAAGGGTGGCAATGTTTCTTTTACTTTTTTGTTGAATAGTAAGTAAGACCCCGTTGAGAAAATTATCTCTCACTTCCTGTCCCAATGATAATGTGTCAGGTGGTGGGAAATCCAGAATTTTACAGTTGTCACTGGAATTGAAAGTGAAGGGAAATCTTCAGTGGGTACACCTGTTATGGTGGCAGACATCTAAGAGGGGATTTGTCTACTTGCTCCCTATTGTGTCTCTGGAACAGTAAGTCCCTGTTCAAGCCTAGGCATTTTGTTGCTGAAAGCTAAGCGCGACAAAACGCTCAAGACAATGAATCCTATTTATTTCTATGGCTACTGTTCACACCTGAGTGTTTTGTGGCAAGCAGAGAAATGCCTGTTGCTGGAAAAAGTACATGAGCACCTTTTTGCCAGATTACAGAGCTTTTTAGTCCCATAGACTTTAATGATAAACTCTGTGGGACAACACATGCGACAAACCACTTAAAAACACGTAAATCACGCATTTCCAGGAGTTTCCTATTGAAGGGCTGTAGAAATGAATAAGATTCCTTGTCTTGAGCGTTTTGTTGCACTTAGCTTTGATTGACAAAATGTCTGTAACTGAAGCTCAGTGAGGGAAATCTCCCCAATGGGATATAGAAAAAAAAGTTAATACTTAAGGTGATATGTTAAGGATTAAACTTCCCCAGCAACTAACAATTAAAGAGTCACCTTAACATTTAACCCAACCCTTCAAAATGGTGAGGACTGTCCAGGACCAAAAGAATAAGATTTCCTGTATTTGCCCATATCAACCAACTGGGCATTGGCTTTCATATGTATATAATGCTTCAGTGATTTTCACACCGTGTTCACTAGTAAGCCAAAAGATGCAGAGGGTGGGCAAAGACGGTAAACACGGGCTATGAAGTGTTGCTACCCTCTTGCTACTCAGCAAATATCACAGCTGAATGGGTAGGGGGCACAAGAATATGCACAATACTTTACAAAACCATTGGCAGCTACAACATTCTATCTACATACACATGTTTGGCTGGACTTGCCCTTTCCAACAACAATAACTGAAATGGGGAGTGTTCTCTACAAGGCGCCCACACAGGCCTGGGTTGCCTTCTACTTACTTGGCCTACATTTGTATCCCACCACCAGGTATTTGCTGGTCCCTGGACACGGATCAGAGCCGAACAAACGGCTGTTGACAAGCAGCTGGCAATTCCTCCGGTCCTGGCACTCGTCCAATACTTTCTAAATGAGAAAAGTTCATAATTAATAGTTATGGCAAAAAGACAAGAAAACAAGAACATATTACTGGATAATCCCAAAATAACTGTCCATGGAGGATAAACCACAGTCCAATCTTGGGTCTGCCACTGTCTTGCCCTGGTTTCCACTAGTGACAGTAAGCCTCTACCAGCAAGCAAGCTAGCTTCCCATTGGGCAGATGTGCCTAGATAGGGAGATCATTGCAAGCACCAGTTGTCTACCATCACTTTAGGATGTTAGCAGGGCCGGATTTACTCTCTCTGCTGCCCCAAGGTCAGGTTCCTCAATGCGCCCCCTTTCCGGCCAACCCCCCATGGAGAATGGCAGACCTGCAGGTTGCATACAAGTGATCTCGGCGAGATCGCTGGGATCACTTGTATAAAACAAGTGGCGGCTTCCCCGCTGTCCATTTAGCTCTGCGTGCCCAAAGCAGGGCTAAATGTAGAAAACAACTACTCGCCCGGCGCCCGGACCCGCATGTCCTGGGCATCGGGAGATAGGAATTCCACACCCCTGCTGCCCCTCTACTCCCTGCTGCCCCAAGGCCGGGCCTAGGTTGGCCTTGTGGGAAATCCGGCCCTGGATGTTAGGTTGCAGCAGCAGAAATGAATCTATTCACAGCACAGCTCAACTGTACAAAGGGTATGATTAAAGAAAAAGACAAAGGTTGTTAGGGGGGAGTTATTTCCTCTACTCAAGTGTCTGCCTTCTTTTTCTACAATAGTTTTGACATGGAGAGTTGTTGGAAATTGAAGGGTATATTTATAAAGCAGTGAATGTGACTTTCACCAAACATATAATGCGGGTGAATCTTCCTTGTGCATGTTTTAATTGATAATGATTCGTTCACCTTCGATTAATCTTTGGTGGAATCACAATCACTGATTTATAAATATACCCCTAAGTGTTAAAGTATATCAAGAGGCAAAACAATGCTGCTTGCTTTTTAGTTAGATAGTGGCTACCTGTCAGGTTTTTACTGCTGTGTCCCCATGAGGGAGATTTTCACTGGGACTAAAACTGAGGGCAAAGACAAAATCATGCGTTGTCACCAGAAGAAAAATAGTGGGGGGGGGAGGGGGGGGACTTTCAATCGCGATACCTGTTTTCAGGAGCATCCCTAGCCTTTTTGCGGCCTGAGGGTTTGCTGGTGGGGAGTGATGCCTCTAAGAGCCGGGTGGAGAGATGTGTAAGGGCTCTGCATCTCCCCGCACAACTCTTAGCAAGGTGGGACCTCTGGGTGGCGTCCCGCTGAGCTCCTGGCAACCAGTGACATCGCTGGTTGCCAGGAGCTGAGCTGGACACTGACCAAAGTGTCCCAGGTTACTAAGAGCTGGGCAGGGAGATGTGTATGACCCTTATAGATCTCCCCGCCCAGCCCTTAGCAACCTGGGATACTTTGGCTGGAAAGGGGACAGCAAGCACACCATGAACATTGTATTATAGGGACGACCATGTCTGCTTTGGCGACAACTGTAAGATGAACTTTCCCCTTCTGTTCTCTCCAGGAAAGGAAGTAAAGGGAAATCTCCACTAAGATACAGATTTGTTGTAATGGGGATTTTAACCATTTTTTACTCTTATCCACATGAGAAAAAAAAGTTTTGGGCTTCAAATAGGAAAGGGGGCAGTCAAAGTACCAGTAAAAACACAAAATGAATACTACCTTGTGGGAAAATGTTATTTCCCCATTTTCATTTGCTTTATGCCCAATTGATTTTTCTTTTACCTGTTAAATTTACTACCCAATCTCCACACTTGGGGAAATATGAGCCGTGAATATATAGCAAAGCCAATGTGTGAACATGTACGTCACATCAAACAGGACGGTTGCATAAATGTTGCAGTAATAGCTCAAATGTTGTGATCATAGAAATACAGCCTAGTGTCTAGTTCTCCTTACTGTCCTACGAACTGTCTTGGCATCTGTGGGACAGGAAATGGGATATAGACTGGGAGGGAGGGAGGGGGGGCTCTGTTATATGCATAGTAGCAGAGAGAGACGTAGAGTCCACCTGTTGAGTCCTCACAAGCTCCTCACAAGCTCCTAAGCCAGCTGGCTCTGTGGCGCAATGGATAGCGCATTGGACTTCTAGTAGTGTTGTAGACATTCAAAGGTTGTGGGTTCGAGTCCCACCAGAGTCGCATTTTGTGAAATGTCTACTAAACAGCCATAAACAGATATTCCTGTGTTCTGTCAGGAGAGGAAGGGGGGAGCTGCTACATGTTCCCTCTGGAGAGTGCTCTGTGTACGACAGTCATGTCAAACTTAAATTTAGTGGTGTGCCAAACTGAGCGAAAAATCAACCGGGAAGGGGGGTATCCACACCTACTTCATACTACAAAAACATTATAGCACTTTATTAATTAACATTACAAAATGAAGTTCAAATAGCAACATTTTATCAGACGGACCATGAAACATTTCCTGAAGTTGAGCTGTGAGGAAGTGAAGCCTTTGTCCACTGGAACACAGCCAGGAGCCCACTAACTTTAACAGGCCGGTGCACACCTATGCGACACCCCACCGTATGACGATTCTTCACGGATTGCCGCATGGTCAGGAGTCGTATAGGTGTGCACAGATCGCACTGTGGGTGCCATTAATTTCCAATGGCACTCCAGCCGTGCGTCGTGTATCGCAGAAAAAAGGTGCAAGTACTGCGGGGAGACACACAGCAGGGAGACCCCCATCCCTTTTTATTGTGGATGGGGGAGTCTATCGATTTTTCTCTGGTCCACCTTGTGAGGCTGAATGAGAGGAATGAGAGGATTTTGAAGTGTCTATGGCTAGCTCAAGTTTCCCATACACTGTGAGATTTTTTTGTTGAAGCTGCGGTCTGAATTAAAAAAAAAAATCCAACAAATTCCTCCATGCTAAATAGTGTTGATGGATGAATCTCTCACTGCAGCTCATTGGCTGCAGTCACTGTTTGGCTGACCGCCCAACTCCTTCGATTTTCTGATCCAAGAATGTTGGGCGGAAGGATGCCAAAAGGGTGACCCCTCTGAGTAAAGTTCATCAAGAACTGACCAAACTTTTCTCAGTGGATGGCCAGCTTTAGTTGTATTAAAGAAGAACTCAGGGCAGTTAAACAATGAACCCTTGCACTATAGATACCCCTGCACTGAAAGGGTTAACTGCTCATTTTGTTCCAGGGTCTAAAATAAAGAAAGATATACTCACCCGATCCAATTTCCCACGTGGCTGCTAGACCGTTCTCTGCAGCCTCTTCTCCCCCAGGCTCTGACGGTATAAGCCCCGCTGATGCTATCACGTCTATTCACTTGCGTTGGATGTGAGGATGCCGAGGACATTCCACATCCAGAACGGAGGGAGAAAGAGCTGAGCACTCAATGCCACAGGACCAAGGATCGGGTGAGTATAACTTTTTTTTATTTTAGACCCTTGACCAAAAAGAGCACTTCACCCTTGTAGTGTGGGGGTAGCCCCATGGCAAGGGCTAATTTTTTAACTGCTCGAAGTTCTTTAAAGGCTAAACTATGAATGCTATTTAAACAAAATTACATTTTAATGATTTAAGGCCTAATTCACACGAGAATCAGCCGGCATGTACAGCTCCATGCTGCATGCACGGCCATATCGGGCAGCTCCCGGGAAGGACAGGTGCTGCGTGTGATTAGTACACAGCCCCTGTCCTTCTCTACGGGACTACGCGGCCGTACGCCGCCCTACGCTCACCTCGAGTGCCGGTCCGTACAGGTGCGTGTGTCCCGGCTCGGACGCAGACAGGATCTAACAAGGTTTTCATGGCTGCTCATTATCTAATTACTTTGGCTTGTGGTACTTGTGGGTTCATTGCCTGCCATCTGTCTATGGACATTTTAAAGTAAATACGTCATGCAAAATATACACAGGTTGCTGTTGCTGGCCACGTCTGAAAATTCTAGTTGTCTGCCTTGTGCTGATCTAGTGGCTTCAATGCTTCAGGTCACTGACACAAAACAAATATACAGATCAAAACAGGCGGAAGCCCTTAACTGCATATTTGTGCCAGGTCTGTGGGTCAAAGCAATGACAGAGGAGATTTAGCATCGCAGGACAAAATTGTTCTCAGAAATGGAAGACAGCCTCTTTCTCTAATGACCCGTAACTTTAAGAGTATTGGACATAATCCAAGGAAAATGGGTATCACTATTGTGTCGAGGATTGGGTGGTTATAAAGGGTACCACTTCCAGGGGCAGCTCTTCAACAACTAGGAATGCCTCTGGAAACTAGTTAGAATTGTGAAAGGGGAAACATCAGATAGTAAACTCGGGAAGAGTCTGGTACACCCTAGGGCAGTCTAGAGTAACCTTTCTCAACCAGGGTGCCATGACACTCTGGGGTGCCTTCTGGCTTTGTCAGGGGTGCCTTCAACTTCTTCACGGCGTCATGCCTTTCCATGGTGCAGGCAGGCCGGCCACCACCACGGAAAAGCATGACGTTAAACCAGGGGCGGTAGCCGGCCTGCCTGCACCATGGATTCATCCATGACCTCCCCCAGCATTTAAAAGAGAACAGACGACCGTCTCCGTCCAGACCTGCTACTGCTATGCCTCCTGTCCTCTGCCATGCTGTCGCTGCTGCATTATAGTGAAGATTAGGACTCTGATATGAAGGTATGAAGGGAAGCTGCCAATGTGAAAGGGGGGAACTCTGATGTGAAGAGGGGAACTCCATGTTATTGTTTGTTTTTTCTTTACATTGAGTCTCAATGTAAAATCCATACTAGAACCCTACCTGGGTCTGGTATAGATGGTGGAAGGAGCCACACATAATATTTGTATGTTTTTATATTTTATACTGGGGTGCCTTGAGATTATGCACACTTCTAAAGGGGGATGCGACTGAAAAAAGGTTGAGAAATGCTGGAAACACTAGTCTAGACCTGTGGGTTTAACCAAAGTGAGACCAGGGCCCAGCAAATTCTTCTAAAACCTTCCATGCCCCAACATTGCCATGATTGACCTTTTGCAA